TATAGGGTGCCCGAAAATAGCACAAGATTTAAATTTGCGTCAATTTACATTAATCTCTTCACAGTTGACGAAGTTATAGCACTAACCCGTCCATATTTTGTATGCAATTATCGAACTGCACCCGCCAAGCTTCCATTAATTTTCATATTTTATTCAATAAAGAATACACGTTATTCTATCATGTAACCCTCAATTTTGACCAAGCCTAACTGTCAGCTGTCGATTTATACCTCTTTCGGGTTGTCAACATTTATAAACATAAATGGCAGCAAATGTAAGCCTTGTTTTAATTTGGGACACCCTTTATAACACCATGATCTCCAAAAGTGCTTGTGCTTCAAGTAAACCGTAAGTTGACAGATGTAAATTTGTTCAAGTCTACATCTTTTTACGTACGTTTTGCATACCAGATGACAGCAGACGTCAGCGTCGAAGCCAAAGACGTAAGCAAAAGAGTACACACCCCACACACAAGGTATAACAGCAATTCGGAAAACATTTTCAAAAAACGAAAAATAAATTAAACAAAGAAAATKTATATAAAACACAAAAGGGCAACTAAACGAGAGTGAGGGTCATAATGAGTAAGCGACTGCTTGAATGGCTGACAGATTTTCTGGGTGTAACTGTGGACACGCGGCTGTTTTTTTTTTTTTTTTTTTTTTTTTTGTTATTTCTCGTTTGTTCATTTTTTCGTTTTTGACAGAACTCTCAGACTGCCAGTAAAGCGCACTGAATTATAGTTCAAGAACTGACGCAAAAGCTGTCTGCCAGAATTTTTACAGAATATGAAATATGAACATATCCCAGACATTAATTGTGACAATTTGCTGAGCTAGTGTAAGACCGTAAAACCATTTACAAAGTTCAATATTTACAATTATGAGTTTGTACTCCGGAAACATGTYGTAAGGGGTATAAATACGAGCTGAACAATTCTGCAGTCGAGGTATATTTCTATCAGGTACACAGCGGTTGACATTATACGAATTAAAAAAATTTAAACCAATATTCCGATTCATTTACATTATCTTAAAATGACACATAGCACTTGTAAATAAATCTGAAAATAATCAGAGACAGAATAACGCCCGAAAGTTGCAAAAAATATGAATAAATACAGAAATTTGGTACACAAATAAGAGTGTATGGACTGTACGAGAGTACAAGTTGACATAAGTCTACATTTGCTTGTTTACGCCATTAGATTAATTACAGAGCTTCAAGTGGATTGCACATTGTCACACATGTATGYCAAAGATTAGCTGAATACCCAAGATGTGTTTAATCATTAGTGGAATACACAGGTACATGCATATGTATATGGAAGATACGTATACGACAAGGTGTGCCGCCCGGCGGACGTCGCTGCGCAACAATGACCGACATCGTCGGCGACAGTAGAATTCGCGCTTGCAACGTGCTTAGCATAAGATAAATATTAATTGACATGTATACATACTTACAAGTATTTAATGGTATGGCTGAGCTTGCTGGAAATTATAATAAATAAATTGAAAAATTATTCCTGCTTATGTAATGTATTCATTGTAACCATAAACGTTTGGTAATAAAATTAGCAAATTTTGTTGTCATCAAACTTAAATGTTTGGCAAAATGATTTGCTTTTTTTGTTACTTAGCGGAAAATAAAAGAAGGGAGTGAATGTTGCGTTTTTGAGTCGTTCAATAAAACTTCTTGTTCAAGAATGTTAGTTTTTTCGGGTATTTCTAAAAAATTATTTAATTATTCGGCACACGTTCTGAGCAGATTTTTTTATACCAAATAGTACTTGGCTCTGCTATAAACTATCGGTCCCAAGAAATAAAAGTAGCAATTCCTCAGTAACGCACTATGATTTATGAATTTGAAGACAAGCATGCTTTTTGGAATATAATCAACCACAAGACTTTCTCAATCGCTTTTTGTACATACATTATATAATATATATAATAATATAAATTTAAATTTGCTTTGTATATGCGTGAAACCAGATTCGGAAAAAGAGAACATATACTTGAAACAAAATATTTGGAAGCAAAAAAATAAATTATACATMATATAAAGTGCAAATAACATCAATTTCAATGCCAAAAAGAAAAACAACTAATGACACGGTGTGGCTGACTTGATAAATGCGATAGAAATTATTARTCACAAGTACACAAAGTGTTTGAAGAATATATGGAGAAAGAATCATGAAATTTTCCGAAGTGGAGTATTTGAACTAAGTGAAAGTCAACAGAATATCTACTTTTTAATCAGCATGAGAAAAGAAATTATTGATTAGATAAGTATTGTGCAATGAAAGCTGAGGCTTGGTCTTACAGCCACACAGTATTTTAGATCGAAGAAAATATATATTAAATTTAGTGGTCACGTTTCTCATAATTCCTCTTTCTATAAAATCTGACTCTAACCAAATGGAATAACACCCATTCCAAAACGGTCGGATGAAATAACACAAAACATATTTCTTAATTACACTTATACGGAAACATAACCCCTAATTTGATATGAGAATTTATGTGTCTGTACTTATTTAGTTTTTTTTAGCGGAAATCTCGAAATAATAAATTCAAAGTGCACGTATAAATCCTTCAAAGCAACATTTATTAATGATTTTATGGCAAAAAAACATTAGTGGCGAATTACATTTAATTAAGTGCCGAATAAAGTGATACAAACAGGCGCATGCGCAACAARCTGTCGGCGTCATCGACACAGATAGCAATCACTTGGACAACGCCAACGCAGATGAGCGATCGAATGTTGTCTTCCTAGTTAATTCTAAAAATGAATAAACGTCGATTAATCGATAGTTACGATAGTGAGTGGATTAAGTGGACACCCACACGGAAAGGCAACGGAATAAAGTTTATTGATAATTTATGTGACTTAATATTGACAAAATCTTAAAAATATCAATTTTATTTTCATATGTGTACATATTTTATAAAAGAGATGTGTGTAGTAAGAAATTGTAACTTTGCAATTAAGAAGCGTGACACTTGGACTTTTTATTATTAAAAGTTTTATAAAAATCTTAGGTTTTTTAAGTGTACAAAATTCTGACCGAATATTCAAAGCTCCGACCAATTTCAATAATTGAAAAAATTACCAGCAGCACAAACAACAACAGCAAACATATGCATGCTGAAACATTTAATGCCAACAACAACAATGCATGCTATCTCGTATGTTTTGCATAATGAAAACCTTTTAAATAAAGTAACAGTTAAGTCAACAACAACGAAARAGTACAACAACAATAACAATGACAACCGACAAGTATGCAAAAATAATGCAAAATCAACACAAAAAATTAAAAGCAAAACAAAAACCTAGAAACACATTAAGGCATGCAAATAAACTGTGAGTGTATGCGTGTGTGTCGGTATGTGTATATATACATATATATATACCGGCAATAACATTTGCCAAACTAACTAACCTAACAAACAGAGAAAATAAAGAAACAGACAACAAACAATTGTAATGCTAATCGCTCCCCAAGCGGCGACAGCAGAAACCACAACAACTACAACAATTCAAAAGAGACAGCAAATTTGAGCCATGTGCACTTTTCTGTTTTAACACTTTTTTTTTTAATTTTTGAGGTTGAGGAATCGATACAAACAACAATTTTGGTGATTCGTAAAAATATACTTTACTTTATCTAACTTTATCAATTGGTTATAGCGGAGCATCGCACAAGTATTTTGGTCCCGATCAGAGGCTACCTTATATATGTCCCGTAGTTCCTAGGTGGAATATGGGGCCTCAATTTCTTAGGCTACCTTAGTTCCTTAATTCGTTAATTATTTATAATCAGCCGAAAGCCTTTGATGCTAGCGCTGCGTACTTTAGTTTATTTAATAATTTGTTTATTATGTAAGCTTTAATAAAATAAAATAAAATAAAAAAAAATTATTTATAATTATATCTGCATCCATGACTTCGAATCGATGTAGTGTTGAGCTTGTGATATGAAAATCTTATCTTTATATACCTAGATACATATATATTCATCTGTATATAGCGCATATTCGGTGTTTTTGGGTGCTCTCAACTTGGTTAGGGGTATCAGTGTCCTCACACTTGGGGTCAATTCGTCACGCCATACACGCGAGCTACACTGCCGCACTCGGCTTTATGTGTTCATACTCGTGCATATCCACACTTGCACAGACATTCCTCWATTCATACATACATAAAACGCTCTATAATTAATTTATTTCGCGCGCACTCAAGCATTTTCAGATTTATGGGTATTTCGATATAGCAGCGTGCATAAAATGAAAATAAAAGCAGAAAGCAGTTGAAAAACAAAACATTTCAGAACAATCAAATTAAATAAGGAAGTCTATACTGAGCGAAACCGACTCTTTTCAAACCCAACGCACATTATAACAATTTTTATGATCTTAAAATAAATTATGTTTTTGATTGTTTTGAAGCCAATGAGTTAGCCTCTTTCAAGATCCTAATCCTCAAATGGGTATATTGCCGATTTCTGTGTTGGTGCTTTCATGTATAAATCGGAACCAACTGCTATAAAATTGGTGGTGGGTGGTTTGTGGGTATAAAAAATGCAAAAACCAATCGAATCAAATTAAATGGATTTTAACCAATGCGTCGCATGACCCCGTAGACAATAAAAAAAACAGTAAAAGCACAAAAACAATAACGATAACATCAGTAGATGGGCCAAAAGTGTTGAAAATAAATAGAGCCRGTATGGCGGCAAATATACATAGGTACATAAATATATATACGTGGCATAAACTCTTCTGAAGTAAATGCAAGTTACACTGTACTAAAAAAACGCATACTGAGAAATAATAATGAATTCAATGTGCCAGATTAGATTAATCAAGAGCACCATATCACGGGACTCGCTAAGCGGTACAAATTATAATTTCAACTTAATTACTCGATTCTTTGAAATATAATCAGATATTTAAATMACGGATAAAGAGATAAAAGAACTATCTTACCTGTTTCTCAACCAGTGGACGCGTGTAGATGAACTCCTTGCGGGGTGAATACAATTCAGGCGGATAGCCYTTAAAGGAATACCGCAACACACTTTCATCAGCGGACTCACCAGTGGTGAGCGTCTCTATTGTACAACCTCCCGTAGTGCCATAGTCTGCGAATGCAACAGATTGGTATAACGGTTCACCGATGCTGTACGCAGGACAGGTTGAGGTGGTTGACGAGCAAATGGACGCATTGGATGCGCTGAGCTTTAAAGAGCTCGAATTTTGCTGGGCGCTGTAGCGCTGTTGCAGTTTTTGTTGTTGTTGTTGATTTTGTTGCCGCTGTTGTCGCAACAGCTTTAATGTTGCGTGCGAATTACACCGGTGGCTGCGATTCAACTGATGCACATGACTATCATAGGAGGCAAACGAAGTAGTRTAGTCGAGCTTCGAACGAGTCACTTCGGCACTGCTATTCAATACCTCTGCATCGGCGCTATCCAAGTCATAGTCAGCATAGTCAGTGTCATTGTCACCGTAAATGCCGCCCTYAACCGTTTCGCACATGCACTGCGCGTCGTTGTTGTTGTACGTTGCATTAATGCAGGCTTTTTCAGTTCCAACGCTTTCGGCAGTATTCACTTTCCCATCACCGRTGTCTTTATCAGCTGTTGCAGCTGCGAGCAAACGCTCACACTCTGCAGCAACTGCTGCGATAGCAGCGACATCACCATCAGCGTCATACCAATCACTGGCACTTTGCTTGTACAGCACATCTCCAGTCGTCATGCAGGCTGCCAACGCCTCCCCGGTGACACTCTGAGCCGAGTGAACGGGCGCCTGTGGGGTCTCTGCTGCAACGGCGGTGCTCCGTTCAGGCGTTGTTGTTATTGCGGCCACACCACTCCCATTATTATTAATTTCACTATCGTTATTATTATTATTATTGTTGTTGTTAGCAGTCATCATGCCCATTTTCGGCGAACACTCAATTAAGTCAACTATAGCGGCTTGCGAATTCTAGCTTCCTACATACAGTAAGTAAATGCTTTTAATTAAATTTATTTAAATTTAATTTTATTTCTCTCTAGCAAAACCCCAAGCTTTGCGCTAAATACGAAATTCGGTGGAAAGATAATGCAAAAAATTGCTTAAATTTAAAACACAGTGAATATTCAAATAAAAAAAAAACAACAAAGCGCTTGAACATAGACGGTTAATTGAATTCGGTCGGTCGGTATTTGCCTTCCCAAATGTCACGTTTCAGCGAAATTATAGCTTTAGTTGTTGTACGTTACAGCTTTGTATTCGATTTTTCGCTGTTAGTTAACTTTTCAGCGTGCCGTTTGCCGTTTGCCGCTTGCCGCTTGCCTCTTGCCTCTTTGCGAATTTTCATTTTTGGTTTATCTGGTTATTTTGCTAGTCATTGCGGCGTTTGCTGTTCCATCAGATTTTTTACCTAGCCTTTTTGCCACCGATAAACTATGTGCCCACCATAAGTGCTACCTCAACGTAAGGCGCAGCCCCTTTTAGCACCGTTATCACACGCGCTACAACTTCAAGGCTCCAGAAACYCCTACAACTGAATATTTGCACATGTGGTTGTAAGACGGCTTGATTGAGTGATTGTTTGTTACCACTTTGTGAGTGCGAGTCATTGCCGTGTGACTGCGGGTTGAATTTGCAAACAGACAACCGGCAATACCGGTGGCGATAAGCGAGTCACAGCAGCAGTTGCTGTTTGCCAAACCTAATATTTGTATGCTTTTAATGTTTTTGCAAGCGTTTAACTTGATTACAGATACCGGCTCGTCCGTAGTTATCACACTATCGCTAGCTGCAGATCGCTTTCGGGATGACGCACGTAGTGTATTTGCACGCTATAACGTATGCGCGCTTGTATGTGTGTGTGTGCGTGTGTGCGTTTCAGAATCTGTCAGGTAGTTGGCGGGCTTTTCACTTTGTTTATTTATGTTTTATCATCAGTTTTTCGTATTTCTCAGCTGTTCGTTCGCTAGTCTGCTGCCCACACTTCGCTTAGTATTTTCATATTTTTGCTTTTTCTCTTCACTTTTTATTCTTTTCAGTTTAGCTCATTGTAGTTAATGTTTGGTTAATACTTAAACGTTTTTGTTCTGCGACAATGACTTTGAATCAACATAATTTGCAATGTTTAATCTACTGATAATAACGTTGAACTTACTACATGCGCATTCGACTTCGAATAGGTAGTGAGATTGGTCCATATAAAACTTGCTAAGGCGAATAATTTCCATACATACTTTTACATAGAAATTTATGTACTAATGATTCTTACATTCGATCATGTGCTTGATTGAGTTCCCCATCAATTTAACCTAGACATTGGATCTACGAGTTTCCGATTAAATAATCTAATGGCAAATCAGCATCACTAGAGACCTAGTTAGGTTGCGCTACAAATCACAGTTATTTTTTTTAGCAGCAGTGTTCAACGTTAAACAGCTAACATGGATGATTATCAAGGATAATCCCTAATCTAGGCGTATATTAAGTTCCATAGTAAAATTTGTAGTGAAAATTCAGCATTCAAGATAATGTACTGTTATATGGATAATATTATTCAAGTATAATAAAAGTTGGAATTTGAAGAACGTTTTTAAGAACTACGTAAGAAAACGCTCAAWATCAAAGTGATGGTTTGCCACCGATTACATTAACTTTAATTAACTATAATATTGGTGACCATTTTGAAATTTCTAAAGTTGAAGCGGTCGTATTTTGTAGGCAGCATTACAACTTTTTTGAAATAAAATAAATAATTTTATTATTTCTGTAGCCCTAGTTCCAATCTCACTAGTTGGGATATATATTCTAGCGGAATGTAAATCTCGACAAAAATATGCCAATTTCTTTTACTGTGGCGAAAATTGACCATCGAAGAAGAAAACATGCAACCTCAAGTACATAACCAGACACAATAACTCGTAAGCCAACAACAACACAGTTACAACCTCAAATTTAACAATCGAAATAAAGTCTGCATCAGCAAATTTTTACGCTTATTACTTTTAATTGTTTATAAGACGAAAATCACTCAAAACAAAAGTCAGAACTAATTTCAGAAGATATCATTCCATTTATATATTATATTTTATTCGCTCGGTATTTGCTTATCCAATAATTTATTAGAATATATCCGTTAACATACATGTTTCTTTTAACCTCAAATCCTTATAGTTGATGTCTGAACTTTACAAACAAACTTATTTTTAACTAATATTTCCTTGATAAAACTCAAATGAAAATACAGTTTAACACAAAATACGCGCGCACGAATCTTGAACTTTWAATTATTTGCTGGCAACATGAAGTCAAATAATGAGAATATATTCACAAAGGACTTTGAGATTATTAATCCTTATTTTTTTTGCTCGCAGTTCGGTAAAGCTAAATTGAATTCTTCGCTATAATTAATATTCCTTAATTTTTCAACATTTGTTTTAGATTTTAGTTTCTTTGGCATACTCTGTTAAGCTTTTTAGTATTTCAAAGAAATTAATTCCCGAAGATGGAATGAAGATCTGTAAAATATTTATTTTGAAATTTCATTGAAACTTTATCATGTTCAGAACACTGTGCAGCAATAAAAGCAAGTAACAAACAATTCGGTACGCAAGAGCAAAGCGGTCGGCAACAGCTTGAAAAATATGCTACACACTCTAGCCAGAAAACATTTTCAATACAAATGATTTTTTTATTTTAAGACGGTAGCCTCAGTATTGAACTATATATTTCCAAAACAAATATTTAATTCAAATGTTTTATATTTTCTTATTTTTTCTTTTTCTTTCGTTTTACACTGCCAGCACTCGATTCACTCGTATGCAATACTTTTCACAACAAACACTGTTTCATTATTTCGCTGCCACACACATTTCTCAGAGAATAATTTTATAATATCGTTGTATAACAAATCGTGATTTCTGTGCGCTTTCGTTTGAACCCAACTTCCAATTCGCAAATCCAACAGGAAGCGATTGACAGTCGAACGCATGGAATACGTTATTTTCTTTCTTTTTTTTTTTTGCGTACGTACAAACACACTATCACACACACACATGTATATTTATTGGCGATGATAAAAACTTCGAAATTATTATCAAATGAAACAACTGTTTCGAAATTGAAAATACAATTTGTTAAATTTATAATTAATTGAAATAGAAGCGAAAAAACGTTGAGGACGCACTCGTTACCGCCACAGCGAACGCTAACCATCTAAAACCAGTACACCGTAGTCTCTGAGGCGCGCCGCGCAAAAAAGTCAACTTTTAAAACTCTCTGGCAGACAGACAACAGACACACAACGTTGTCGTCGTCAAAGCAGCGCCGGCCGTGCCGCGCCGCGCCGCTAGGCAAGCGAAACGACCGCGCGCGAACCAGCCGCTCACTCTCATCAGCATTGTCGCTGCAGCGCCGACCACAGCAGCCCATGCGGTTGACTTCTATGTAATTTACTATGCTTCTCAGCAACTAACAAAAGCAACACCATGAAATAAAGGCAATGGTAGGCGTATCTACATACATACATACTATAGCGTTCACAGCCAAGCAAAGAGCCAAAGAGCCAAACGAACATCCAAATTTTCGAAATATAATTTCTCGCTGCTGTTTTGCTGGCCTATTTGGTTTGGCATACACTCAGCCAAAGTTCTTTAGGACCCATACGCTTCAGACGGCGGCTAGCGGTCAGCGCTTGCTTAGCTAAATTTTCTGGCCACGGGACCCGTCACCACGCTGTGGCCTTTAATGTTCATGTTCTATGATGCACATGTATGCGTGTAGGCAAACGTTTAACACTCGTGCAATGCTGTGTGGGTACGACATGTAATTCCAATTTCATTTTCATCTTTTCATACCCGCGTACAGTACTATTCTGTCTACAATTTGTCTGTAAGAGTCTTAAATACACGACGAAATAATAGGATTTCGTAAGGGTTGTATTTTACACCATCCACCGGTACGGTCCATTCATTTGAATAATTCAGATGCAAAATTAACTACTGAGGCGGAAATAAGAATACTGAGATCTTYCATGCTATGGCAATAACAATTCCCCTATTCCAGTTAGCGGCATTTTAATACCTTTTCTTACGATTTCAGTTTAGAAAGAAAATGTTTAGCGATTGTAATAAAGTGAGTGACTTGGGCTTGGCTCTATCCTAGACCTCTCAGCCGTCGATAGTAGGGAATATACAGTGCATAGATCGGATATTTTATATTACAAGATATATTTATAAAGATCGCGCGTTTTCGTTCGATCTTAACCTTCCTTATTTTCTGTTCAAAATCATGCGATTTATGTGTTGGTGCTATTTTCCCGATTAGTCAAGAAAGTTCGCCGGACTTTTTCACATGAAAATTAACGCGAGCAATATTTTGCTTCTGCAAGCTTTACTATCGCCAGATTTCCTAACCGTTAACTAGTTGTTCATAAAACGATATGCGGCCTTTCCAAGGTCATTCAATCTAATAAGTGAAAATAAATAAATGCATAGGTAAAGTCGAAAAGGTGTCATCTGTCAACTTTTAACCCCTTCACCATAACACTGRAAAATCGGTAATTCACTAAAGTCCAAATAATGCTTATGTATACCATACTATATTTCACTACAATTCTAAACCCGCTTCGTTAGACATTCGCTCTACCGATCTTTTGTGGCTCTCCACAGCCAAGCAATAAAGGAGGATAAACGACYGGATAACTGCGACCAATATATTTTAAATATAGAATCAGAATATAAATTGCCTAAAGCCAGTTCAAAGGTAATTAGTCAAAGTTTGCCTCACGGGAGTATCACACCTGTATGTCAGTAAGTTGATAAGTCCCAGCAGAAGGTTAAAACTGCCTAAGCCAGCATTTCTCGATTTTTACAAGTTTAGTACGACAAAATATTTCACCTAGCCAACGACTGACAGTATGCTCATAAAATACAGATGTAAGTACGTAAATCAGTTCCAAGCCCACGTTCTTTGCGTACTGGCAAGTCAGCAGA